ATGATCATTTCCAAAGTTGAACCGTGGACGTGGTACATTCCCAAACGTTTCGCCGGCATCGTTTTGTCTCTTTGACGAGTTTTTGAATGGTGCTAGGAATGAAGATACTCACTGATGATTCTGACTACGATGCCGGCGAAACGTTTGGGAATGTACCCCGTATACTGTTCAACTTTGGAAATGATCATGGAGAAAATGGACCCTGGAGAAGGTGCGTTCCTCTAAGTCTTCCTACCAATATGACTATGTTGCGAAAAACAGGTCAAAGAACCTCTATTCAAGGCTTTAGTTGCATATTAAGAACTATGAGTACTGTAATTTTAGATCGAGATTTCTTCTTCCGAGATTGGTAATGAGAGAAAGCTTCATGACATTTGGGATGGGCTCAAGATCAATGGTGACTATACAGGCCTAAATATGTTTTAGTCAAAGAGACCGCATATTTGTCTGAATGGATGCATCATTAGATGAATTATGGGCTACTTTTGTGAGATGACACAATCTCGAAGCCGGAGTTTTTGTTGCTACATTAGAATGAATTAATATGTGGATGATGTTTAGAAAGAGCAAAATTACGAAAGGACTTAATGAAAATATAGTTTACTTGGCTAGAATTAGGGACTTTCAAGGCGAATCTCACCTTTTCAGTTCCCATACTTCATTGTCATTCTGCTCGAAATTTCAACCAAACCCAAACAATTTATGCTCAATTATGAAATTTCGAAAGCTTGTCCTTTTATATTGTTTGAAATAATCATATAAGATAAGAATTTTAATCAACCTAGTACATATGTGATGAAAGACTGAGAGTTGAATATTTCTAAAATGATGTTAATATAACTTTTGTTTCCATTAAATTTTACGTAACTTTGCTTCACAAAAGCTATTATCATCCGGTATAGACCGAGGTTTCGACCTCGCCTAAGCTGCATCAGTATTTCCAGCGGAAATGGAACCTTAGCCGTGCAGCGTATAGTTCGACACGCAATCAACGTGTTATACTACCACAATTGCTCTTGCTCACAGGGCTGTCGTAAATTTAATAATTTTGAATATAACTCTTATTTAAAAAGTATTGGCAGCTTAGAGAACTTACTTTCTCTAGTACTAAATATCATTATGTATTTTTTTTTATAAATAAAAAAAATCAGTTCTTGGGGCTTATTTGTAACTCTAACTTATGTGTTAAGTTATATCCAATGTTGTTATAATTAATTATAAGTATAATTCAAATGGGCTATCCTTCGATAAGAAGTTGGATTAGCCTGCCAAAGATATTTTCACTTTATTTGAATTAACACTAAAGCTTTTAGATTTTAATGATGTAGACAATTTATGTTTCCATATTTATAAGTTATTTGTGTTTTATAATGGCAGCATTAATAATTTTGCGGAGATATATTTTAACTTATGTGTATATCGATAATTTATCAATAACATTTATTCTTAACTTTGATATGGTGCCTGCTCAATAACTAAAATGATGGTCTCCTTAGTATAAATATGCTAAAATATCACATTAAATGAACTGTTAATGTTTTGGTATTTTAAAATAAATAATTAAAATTCGAGTTATAAAGTGGCTTGGATGTCATCAGAATATTTACTAAGAACCAAAGAACTACATCTCAATTCTCTTAATCAGGGTCTAGAAGAAAGTAAAATTGATCTTTAAACCTCTTTAATATGCATCCTTTTAATTATCCGTAAATGCATCGACATTGCGTAATATAAGGCCACTTCAGGGCATTTTAGCTAGACTAACAAAAGTGTGTAGCATTTCTCTGATAAAGCCTATTATTTAAAAGTTAACCAACTAAGATTAACTTACTTCGATCGCAACGTAATTGCCCAACATTTTTCAAACAATTATTTTCACTATCATTCTTTTTTATTAATTTCCTAAAATCGCTTGTTTTATTTCGTCTTTTATCTTGCTAATCAGCGTGAGTTGACGCTCTGGCGCGGAGGCACGAACAGATATAACCGGACTCCGGTATGCGCCGGTCAGGACTCGTGTCAGGGGGACTGGCACTAGCGACACTCTGGCATGTCATTCTGCTGCCACCGATTTGGCCGGAACTGATCAGACTGTTGCTAAAGCTCACGACGATGATTGAAAGTGCGACCATTGGCACAATCATTATCCCGAGAGTCGTTGGAGGCTTGAGCTGGCCTGAACATAGCACTTTATCCTACAACCAACAGCATCACATTGACTGGATAACATTTCTTCACAATCGTACTCGTCTCCAAGGTCCCAGAAACACGAGTGTTCTTCTCAAGCATTCTGCAGTGCTTCGCTGTCGACTGGACTACGAGCCGATGACCTCAGCCTCGGAAATTATTAGCTCTGGTGCCTTCGGCGCAATCTCCTCGCTGTCTTCGTGGAACCCACCTATTGGAGCTGAACAGTTTCATTGGCCAGTATATGACGGTGTACATCAGCAACTAAGCCTTCAGTGGATAGTTGACGGTTTCGGCGTCGACAATGAATCACTGCAGACTGTTTTCGGCGACCGCTATCAAATTCCTGGCAGGAAAGAGGCAGGTAAGGACGATGTAGAGCAATAATTTAAGCGGAGAGAATTGCCTAAAACAAATATCTTTATAATATAGTAGCCAAGAGTACAACTTTATGATTGTGCACAGAAGGAATAGCATTCAAATATTCAACAGGGAGATTTGCGTTGTGAGCACATTTTAACCTATTTATGGATATTACTGATACTTGTGATATAGCTGAGTATCTGTCCCTATAGCAACGAATTTATCTAAATATCCCCTCCTAGCATGTAAATTTTGAAAAGTATAAAAGAAGTCTCTAGTGTAATATCGGTTCAATCTTAGAGCTTAAATCTAAATAGGAAAAAAAGTATTACATGTAACAAGGATCTTAGGTTACTGCAATTCCGGATGCCTCTAAATCCTCTTTAGAAATTGTAAGATCAAGAATTAGTTCATCAGAAGCTTCATTTCTTGTAGTAGCTTATAATAATCTTAAAGAAATAAAGACTAGCACAAAATAGGTTGATAAACGTTAAAGGTATGCATGCAAGCAAGACACACGTTTGAATTGATCTTTCCTTGGGGATGAAGGCATGCCATTTTAATGTCTGTGTTTTTGTCAGCTCCATCTTTTATTGCGCATTCCCACCCCGATTCCGCTCTTTCTATTTCTTTTTTGCTCGAAGCTATTTCTCAGGCAAACAAAATACCCCTTCTCTTTAAATATGTATGATATTCTGCTATTAAAGGAGGATAAACCTCAAAATTCATTTTTAAACATGTAATGCAAAATGATTTGCGAACGATTCCATCATCTACAGGAAAATATAGTTAGGAGAATGCCCAACTTCGGGCCCTGGGAATATTCTAGCACTAAGTCAGATCAACAATCTTCAAACTCGTTTACCTTAAATATGGAATAGCCATCATATAATCTTTAAGGCCTATCTTACCAAGCCAATGTTCGATGCTGCTTTGCATGAAGCAAATGCAAAGGGTTGTTGAGGATTTGCTGGTTGTATTTTAGTCTATATCAGTAGGATTTAATTTTTGACCATCTAGCTTCATTAACTTAAGGGATCAGAGCTTTATTTTGTTTTTGGAAATAGTTCGCATGGTTCCTGTCGGATGCGTCGATTATAATTCTATGGTATTTTTGCTCATGAATTAGGATAATGACACTTCTCCACACTGTTGACTTGTATGCTGATAAATGGCCTAAAAGATATTTACATCTAAGAGCCCGCCTTTTTAGTTGCCAGTCTAAACGATAAAAATAATTCCCCTGGCTTTTTGAGCACTAGCCTGGCTTTGGAATGTTTCGGTTTTAAGTAGGCTATTGAGAATACCAGTCAATCTAGCATATGAGATATATTCACTCTTTTTCGTTTAAGATGATGAAGCAATGGCAGGGTTTTTTTCCATACCGATATGAGTAGACCTTATGTTCCCAGTGAACATCACATAGTTTTGCTTCCCAGAAGATATTTTCACCCAGGGTGGACTGCAGTTTTGACCTCACCTAGTTCTAACCAGAATCCCCACTGGGACTCGAACCATGATAGTGCAGCATACAATCCCGACAATTTAAAGTCTCTTTGACGAGTTGTAATATAGTGTTACGAATGGTAAAAT